TGCTGTGTGACCTCATGCTGTTATAAAAGAGCTTTAAGAAGCTTAAGAAGAGGATAAGGAGTCGAGGGAGAGGGCTGTTTTCCTTGTGAGCCATGTTATCCCAGAGCAGACTGTATTGCACTGGACTGGGGGCAATTTTAGGGAGAAGGGAATTTTAAGTGACAAGGGGAGAGTTTGCATGTATCAGGTTTAAGCCCTAGCTCGGGTTCTCTCTTGAGGTAGCCTTCTCCTGTACGTGGGGTGAAACATTGGCAGGAAAAGTAGCTGATGTGTTACAAACTGCACGTGTTGAAAAAGTTAGGGCGAAGCAATGTGTAAAATGCCCTGTGGATTCATGTCCATTACATTCAGAGGTTGCACTTCTTCTGACTTGTGTCTTCGATATATAATAGAACCCTCATTTGTATTAAATACAGTGAAAACGGTGGATTTTTTGTAGAAGTCATAACCATAGCATCATATTCAGAGCAGGAGGAAGAGAAAATCCTATTTAATTGTTACACTTTATGCTCGAGATATACTCCCTATTCCTGAGTTTACTCTATACCTAGTAAATTTATTTAAACAGTAGTGCTTATTTAAAAAAAGAAAAAAGTAATTAATACTGAAATGGCTTGTCTGTTTTAATACACTACTCTATTTCTGTTTAATGTAATTGCTGTATTTAATCTTAGAAGGAGCTAATGCATGCCATGTGACAAATTTGTTCATTGCTCGGTGTCACGCAGAAAGCAAAAGAAGAAGTCAAGCAGTAATATGGGTCCCTTGGGGAAATTCTGTGGCTTCACTGAAAATGCAAAGCATGTAAAATAGCAACATAAAAATTATGAAGTGCTCCATATGACTACCGAGGCCCTTAAAGTTCCCTATTACACTCTGAGACAAATGCAGAGAGTGATTTCATGCTTATTTTAGTTTTATTGTAACTCCTTGGTCTAATTTGGAATCAATTCTTGCTCTGTTAGACAATAAAAGTAAAAGCCAAGAACAAATATTGTTGCACAGAGTAATTTCCGTGTTGCTGCTGATCAGACCTCTTCTTCCATTACCTCTGAGAGAATCGATACTCTACCCTAGAAACAAATTATGTAGGCAAGCACACGTATAGCTGTTGATGTCAGGCAAATAATTGTCATTGCAGTGGAGACAAAGCTTTAAGGTTTGTTTCGAAAGTTAATAGAGGATTTTTATGCTACTTCAGATTTGAAAAAATATGATTCGAGCTGGGAAAATAATCGCGACTGTGGCAGAAATAAGTCAAAGGTTGACAAAGCTCACTGGTTTCTCTGGCAGATCAGTTGAACGTATGTAGAACTGCTTGCTGCCATCGAGTTTTTTAAATTAACTTGCACAGAAAGGGTTTTGTTTTTTTTTTTACTTGTGCTCTCCACACAGCTTCATTTATTTTACTGAAATAAATCTGGGCCATAGCAGAGAGGACCACTTCTACTGGGAAATCTCATCTAGCCCATCAGGGGGTTGTTCTCTCAAAAATGCGAGTAGAACTGTGGTTTTAAATATCTGTTGGATCTTTCTAATTCCAAGCATGTAACATGCATGACTTCTGGCTCAATACATTTACCCCCAGTTCTTGGGAATGCTCGTGTCTGTACAGCTCTCCAGATGCACGGCTAAATGCCGTGTGGGTGACGGGGGCTCAGCGAGAGCTTTTCTCCTTTATAGACCATCTAATAGAGAAGATTGCTTCTGTTATTTATTATTGTAATATTTCATTTCTATCTCACCAGTCTGTGTCATATATAAAAGCTACGAGTAACAGCGTTTTTTAGCAGATAACTCCCATCATGTATTATACTGATAACCTTCACACGTCAGATAATTTAGAAAACAGCTTGAAATTTATGGCACTGCCTTGTAACTAAAAGTGACTGATGGCAATATATATATTTAATAACGACACGCTTTTCTCAGCACTGTGAACTAACAGAAAAGTGTTGGATGGAACGAATTGCCCTCGGTTATACATCATAAATCCCCAAACTGCACAGTGCATCGTCTGCTTGTGTTTGGAGAAGGTGCAGAGTGCTCCTTGCTGTGTAACCGTCAGCCTGGAGATGCTGCTTGCTTTCCAGCAACTACACGTAATGTGTGCCAGCTCCTTCCTGCTTATACTCTTGTTAAAATGTAAAGCAACAAATTTCCTGGCAGCCTCTGCAAAGCGGTGTAATAGAGCTATCATTAGGAGAAGGTGATGAACATAATGGGAGTTCTTAGCAGTGGCAGTAAGCGAAGCGAAGCTATTAGCATCTTTCCATAACAAGTAACGACTGAAAGGTTACTTCTCAGCTTTATTACTAAAAATGTTGTGGTATTTTAAGCAGGTAATATTTTGTTTTCACTTGCCTGTGATTTTCCTTATTACGAACTCTCGAGTAACGTATTGCTTATTGAAATTAAAACTTCGACTAAAATGTGCCCTATTGGCTGAATTGGAAAAATGAAAATTTAGATGTGGGATTGTATGTATGATTCCTGCTAACAAGGGATCTTAGCCCAGTGTTGTTCATTTGCCATTGAATTTATCATTCACCAAGACTTGCTTATCTCTTTTTTTATGTCAAAGTATGTGGTTTTCATTTGAATATTCTCAAAACATGAGACAGTCATACTTTTGAGCTGCTTACTAAATAACTGAGCTCTGTGGAGAAGGGTAACACACAGCATGTACAAATAGGAAATCCAGGAGAAGGAATGGAGGCTTTTGGTGGTGAGGTTTGAGCGCCGAGCCATTAGCAGAGGGTTGAACAGGGAGGGTTAGAAAGTTCTTCTGTATGAAGCTTTAATTAGTGATTGTGTTTGGAGTGTAGTTTGAAGCCCAGTAGGTCGAATGTTGTGTGGCTTGCCTGTGTTGACAGCTGAGTTGGAGTTTTCATTGTGATGTGATTGGCAGAGTTTTTGTGGAAGCCAGAGGCTGCTGTTCAGAGCCATAGGATGGGATGGCAGCAGTGAGTGACAGTGTTTCTCCTACATGTCCTAACACTTATTACATATCAGTGTTAAAAGCAATGACAACACTGCCTCTGTTCCTGAGTAAAGGCAGAGCTGGGCTCGCCAGCCTAAGATCTCAGCTGGTAAGAAAACATCAGTAGTGCAGCTCAGTTCCAGAGGTATTTTTCCATTCCTTTGCGAAGATGATCTTCTATTTTTTCCAAATAGATGATCACTGCTCACAGAAGAAATTATTTAACATTTTTATTTTCTGAAGGACGTAACAGGATTAGTTTTCTTCATGCGATTTGGTCCTGCAAACACAAATCAGGCTATTGTCTTCAAGAGTGGAAAGTTTGGAACCAAAAGTATGATTTGGAAGTGAAACATTTTTCAGCTGCAAGTAATATTAATAGTAATTGCCACTTAGTGGTCTTTCATTTGGTGGAAACAAACTATCAAAATGATAATTGTAGGATTCATTGGGATATAGATTGATTAACAAAGTAGACAAGCAAGTGGGCAGTGAGCATGGAGCCAGAACTGTGGCTCTTATGAAGTCGGCACAGATGAAAACAGGGGAGCAAAGCCCATTTTGCAGCATTTGTCCAAAGAATAAACATATGCCATGTCAGAAATAGAACAGTTGGAGACGATTGCTGCATGGGCCACTGCTGAGAAATAGCTGAAGAAAAATGCGAGGGTGATTAGACTTCTTTGGAGCCAGCCGACGGCCTGAAGGTTGCACAGGAGGCTGGGATGGCACTGTGGTGGCACAAGGGGTTGTACACTGCAGTGACACCAAATGCACCTGATAGCATCTTTCCCACTTCTCTTCATTGGGTGAAAGAACTCCATGCACGTTATGAAGGGGAAGGAAAAGTGAGATTCCACATGAAATCAGCTGTCTTGAAAAACTGTGAGACTGGAACTTGGTTTCCAGTGAAATTGGAAATGCACTGCTTGCAATTCTAAGTCTAAGAAATCCATTTGATATTTTTAAAACTCTCCTTCACGATGTTGTACATTTTTTACTGGAAACAGTCTGAAGTGCTCAGGTAGCACAGTGTATTATCTGTAAAGAAATTGTGTATTACTTCGGACTTTTCATTACAACCTTCTGACTCATTGCAAAACCACCTCATAGTGCAGTGTTTGCATCAGGATGTTCCAAATCTCAACTCTAGATTTTTCAGTTCTGCTGAAATGTGGACTGATGATGATGTACCAGAACCAAGAGTAAAACAAAAAGAGAACCTCTGTAAGGGTGAAAAGCTACAGTGCCTGTTAGTGAAACAAAGCTCGCTCAAGCAAATTGTTCATATGTGCTTTTGGGGATGTGTGTGACCTCTGCTGTGTGACAGCCTATAGGCTCTGTCACATTATATAATTAGATTAGAATAAGCTTTCCTTATATGAAGAAAGTTCTTTCAGATCATTCATAAATTTCTAAATGGGAATTATTCTGTAAGCAGAAGCTAATTTTCTTTTCCCGTTATCTCCTGCCACTCTGTGATATGAGAACACTTTGTTCTCCATGAGAGTCTTCACTTAGAGCTTTGGTTTCTCACAGACATAATTAACTAGCAAAGACACTGGGTTTTCTCAGACATCTTCATCAAAGCATGCAGGAAAACAGATCCCATGCCCAGGGCTGGCTTTCCTTCCAGTTTAACATACCTCATTTATGGCTGCTGTTCTTGCCTGAACACAGAGTGAGTTCCAGCTACAACATGGTTGGGTTCAGGAAAAGCGACTTCATAGTGTTGTTCATTCCTCACTAAACTTTCACACTGTGGGATGTCTTAATCATTGAAAAATTGTCTTTTGATTTTTAAATGTTTTTATTTCCTCAGTAATTGCATAGTTTACTTGATATCTGCCTTTCTTGTGTGTCTGTGTCTAGCATTAGGCTCTACTTTCTTTGAATGACTTACAGGTGAGATGTTTGCCTCCAAGTGTTATCTTGTTTCCTGCATAACTACGTTTGTATCAACAAGAGGAAATCAAACTCATGCCTCTGTAACTGTTGTTTTCCATTTTCTTACCAGTTTGCTGTTTTGTGGTTCATAAGAGATGCCATGAGTTCGTTACCTTCTCTTGTCCTGGAGCTGACAAGGGACCTGACACTGATGTAAGTACATTGCCATTTGATACGCTGTTCTTCTAAGTATTCTTATGTTGTGGCATTCAACTGTGAGAAGATATTACAAACAACATCAATAGGTTCTAAAGGTTGATGTTTATAGTCCTCATTCTGAAGTGAATATTGAAGATTTATGGACTTTAGAGAGCTGGTTTTTTTAAAAAGAAAGTTAACAATGGATGAATGTATGACCAAGATCAATATTCCTCAGAATGTGACAACAGAATGTGAGGTGTTTACCCAAGCATGAAGCATGAAGTCAGCATTTTATTTTTGTTTGCTTTGTTTTGTATGCATTTAATACTAACAACGCCCATGAAAGGCTGAGGGTTTTTCTGAGCTTGTTTGTGTACCCAACATATCTCAGGGTATAACTTCAGAGTTGACTCTGCTCCTCGTCCTCTGTACACACAAGGATCTGCAGCTCTAAGTACGTGCCATGGATGAGACGGATGATGATCCAACCTAATCTCGAGCCAGCAGGCTTATCTGAAATAGGTTATCTGAAACTTATATTATTATATTCATGCTTGAGCTGGTCAGGACACCCGTCAGGATGCACCCGTTCCGTCTTCCCTGTCAATGCATGCATCTACAAGCAGTATTTTTGGTCAACAATCAAACTTTCAACACATCTGCCTATATGGTGAGACGTATCTACAAGAATTTTGTGTCACCCCAGTGAAATAATAAACTGTTTGTTCACATAAAAATAACATTTATTTGGGATTTCTAAATTCCACTTTACAGTGAAGTAATTTAACATCTGCTTATGAGAACAATGCATTCCAAGTGTTCTTTGTCTAAATGGCTCTGTTTTGTCTCTTGTAACGTATTCATGCTCTAGATTGTAGGCTATTATCTCCTCTGATGAAACACACCAGAAGACTTTTCTTACTAAGTTTTAATGAGCTTCTCATGAATGGTTTTAATATGCTAGACATGAGATCAGTGAATAATGAGCAGAAGCTGCAAGGGGTTTTGGAAAGTTTTCTTATTTTTTAGCTGAAGTTCAGGGCTTAAGTACAGTAGCTGAAGTTTCAGTCTGAAACTGAAAAGTATTTTAAAGACAGTTTGTTTGTTAAACATTTCACATAATGCAAATTTAGGCACATAAGACATGCTTATCATTGTGGCAGCAGGCTGAGGTTGCTGGCAGAAACACTGCTGCCCTCAGCACCCACTTCTTCTCTTTGTAACCTTCCCCTGCCCTCTTTCCACTCTCTGAGATCCTGACCTGCTCATCAATTTGCTGGTGTAACCCAGAGATATTGCCTCCTTCAAAAGCAGATGCGTGCACTAACTTCAGAGCAGCATGACACATTGGAGCAATGCGTCAGGCTGGCAGTTAAGCTTGGACAATTTCTGTGGACCATTTTTTATCTGTTGCTCAGCTCTCAGCATTTATTATATTCAGTTTATAAAGTTAGAGGAATAGCTTCAGTCCTGAATCCTTCATACGTGGTAGATGAGCGAGAAGCAGTGAAGCACTCCATGTTTGCACTACAGACTGTTTCTTTCATGTAAGATGCTGCTTGTTTAACTGTTCTACCCTTAATGACAGGTCCACAAGCACATCCTAAACTTTGGAGTATGATGTCACAAAATAGATATGCTAAATTGAAGTGTTGAAAATAAATGGTGAAATGTTGAAGTGATTACCACAGGATCTTTGTTTAGGAGTTCCAAATGCATATATATTTTTAAGACATCATGTATTTCTTCATAGCTTCTATTATTACTACTTTGGCAATAGTGGAAGAAGCTCAACAATGCTCTAAATATCACTGCTAAAAATATCTTCCTATATTTTGCTCAGGTGAGGAAATTTCCACTTTTTTGCAGTAAGACATTGCTTTGGAAATGTGCGGGGTTTTTTTCTTTGTCAAGTGATAGACATTTGTTATGAGTTTTTGTGTCACAAAACTCTGTGTGATGTTCCTAGTAAGAGCAGCAAGGAGCCAGCAGGTCAGGATCAAAGGACAGTGTGGGCTGCTAACGAACTGCTTGGAATATGCTCTGCACTTCCAAGGGAGAATTATTCTGCTTCCAGTAACAGTTATAAACTGTCTTGCACGGCACTGCTCACATAAATCAAGCAATTCTCACAAACGCTTCACTGGAGTAATTATCAGTACCATTTATTTCACTTAATAAAGAGAACCTGAAGTCTGGCAGCCACAGAGACACCTCTCAACCAGGGGCTGCAGAATGTCGATGTATGGAACATTTCCCACTGTGATACAAAAGTGCTTTTTGCAGCCAAAGGAGGCAATGCTTGCAGGTGTGTTTCCACACATCCCGCTGAGGTCCGGGTATCTAGGACACGATGTAAGCATTTATTTATAGGTTTGTCTCGAGGCGAGGTAGTATGGCACTTACACTGCATGCCTCGGGGGATGGTGAGGGCTTCTGAGCAGCAAAGTTCATTAGTCACTTAGGGAGACTCCAAAGAGGGGAAACCCTTAGTTTTTCTAGTCATCTTTCTGGCTTCCATGGGAGGATTGAAGGACGAGATCTGAGCAGATCTTGAAAATAATGGGTTTTTTTGAATGAGGGAATTAGAACACTTCCATAATAAATCACATGCAAAGCCATTTCCAATTGCAGAGGAACTGTGAGCAGTTCTGTGGCTGCTGCAGTGCCCTGCGAGGAGAGGAAGCTCCTCACTCTCAGTCATTTCCCCAAACGGATCAAACAGCTGCAGCAAAACTTAGTTTAATATCAGGCAATTCAGAAAACAAAAAGGGTTTTCACACCTTCGCCGACCTTTTCTTATTTCCTAGCCCTTCTTAAGCTCCATGTAGCTGCGTGTTTTGTAGTAAACTTTGACTGTGTGGCTGTATAGAAGTCCTGTGACCTGCATCACGCTAAAATAGTGGTGTACAAATATTGTCTCCGTGTGTAACATTATTATTTGCTGCAATACTCCACTGCTGTAACAGAGAAAATAAGTTATTATTATTTATCTATTATTTTTTATTATTACTTTTGAATGCCTTAGCAAAGAGGTATGCAGGAGATAGGGAAGCCTAAAATCACCCTCTTTTTCTGCTTTATTCATGTTGAAACATCGGGTTGCAGGATCTGGTTTTGTGCCAAAAAGAAATATTAGTGATGAATAAAGTGGTCACCTTGATGGCTGCTGCTGGAATGATGATGTCTGGGGAACAAAACTGCATTTCAGTTGAAACAACAAGAATTCAGGCAATCCAAAATCGTTGTGTTTCTGTAGTACACTTACTGTTTAAAATATTATTTAAATAGATTCAACCCCACTCCCTGGAGGTGAAGAGCAGGTTGGATGGAGCCCTGGGCAGCCTGGTCTAGTACCAGATCTGGAGGTTGGTGGCCCTGGATCCTTGGGATTCCTTCCAACACAAGCCATTCTATGATTCTGTGATTCTATGATCAACTTTTTAAACGAGCCTTTAAAACAACGTGGATTGCACAGGAACTCAGACATCACAGTCTCTGCATGGGCACTGCTCTCCTTTCAGACTTGGAAGGTTTATAACCTAAATAAATAAATAAATAGAAATTGAAAAGTAAAAAAAAAAAAACGGGGTGGGAGGCAAACAACTGTGTGGTCAAGAGAGATTGAATCTGACTTTCCTACTCAGAATTGCAGTGAATTCTTAATATTTAAGCACTCAGAATAGAATGAATTGATAAGATTTTGATTACACAAAATGAAACAGCAAAGCCATCCCATTTCATTTGCCAGGGTGTCTGACCTTGTGTCTGCTGAAGGTGACATATATGGGAAAGATGGTAAAGTGGATAAGCCTCTTGATATTGAAATGATTTGTGAGATTTATTGTATTAAGCACATTTGGGGAAAAAAAAAAAAAGCATTCTAAATTTGCACTGAGGTTGCATGGGATGCTGCAGTAGCTGAATATTTTCCATAGTGGCTTGGACAATTCAATGAAATGAGAAAAATAATTATTGAGAAGGGAAAGAAGCAGTGAGAGCTGATGGTGAAGGTGCCAGCAGGAGAACAGGAGCCAGGCTCCTGCTGGGGCACGGTGTGGGTGCTGGCCAGCAGTGCGCACCAGCACGGAGGTGACGAGTGCTGAGGAAGGATAAGTTGCAAGGGATTGTTCTGATTTTTGGTGAGATGCATTGTATAGAACTGTGCAGCTGTACTGGAGGGGGATTTAGAAAGGAATGGAAATGCTAAGGGTCTTTGACTGCTTTCCATGACTGTTAAGTTCTAAGCAGGGATCATATGGGCTGGAGTTTGGCACTGGGCTTGGAACAGTGCTCCTGGACCTCCTGGTTGGCTTTGATGGCTTTATATATGCCTTTATATCTGCAGGAAGCATGCATATATATTCATGCTAGCAGGCAGGTTTCAGAATATTTCCAGGGTTGGGTTTGGGGTTTCTTTGGAAATATTTTCAGATTTCAGAGTGAAAGAAGATGGTTGCTTTACCGGTCTTTACTGGGAATTCAAAACAGAACAAAATAGAATGACAACAAAAAAGCAGCTGGAAGCTCAGCATTAAGACTTACCCAAGAACCCAGTTCAAAAGGGATTTTAATCAGAAAGCTCTGCAGCCCTTCTCCCAGGGATAATGAAAAGTGCTTTGCCTTTAACCATTCAGTTGTTGGACATCGTGAGGGACACAAGCAGCAAACACACGTCACTGGTTAATATTATAGACAACAAGATTTTTGTTCTCACTGATCTGAGTTTTGGGTGATAGGCAATCCTATACCAGAAATATTTTCTTGGTAATTAAAATAAAAATCTGCTCACTTTATCACAGAAGATACACAAAGGCAGGCGAGTCTGGCAAACAGCAAAGTTTCCTGCCTGCCAGAATAGCAAAAATATACTCCTAAAGGCAAGCTCTTGTTAATGATGAGACTCTGAAGCAGGTCTGATGCAATAAATTTTTGAATCTTTCATTGTACACTTGAAAAAAAGAAAATATAGAAACTCCTTTAAAATCATTTAAAATACCAACTTAGTATGG